CCCTGTGTAGACAGAGGGAGATGAAATTCAGGTTGGTCCTATTCAGGGAGATTACTGCTTAACGTAGAAAATATTTAATACTCATAAGGTTTTTTCCTCCCTTTTGCTTTAATTTCCCCCCTTTTATTACATCTTGGTAATCTATTGTTTTTAATATCGGTCGTTGATAATAATTTTTCTTATCAACTTTGTTTTATTCTGCCAACGATTATTTTCCTGAAGAAGTGTCGGTCGAAATGCGCCTTAAATCCCCTCCTTTTTTCTTAAACGAGATACTTTTGTATCTATTTTAACAATAAAATGGGAAATATGATCCTTATATTTAAATCAATTTTTACTTGCTGTGGCAGTAAAAGAGAAATATATATATATATATATATATATATATATATATATATATATATATATATATATATATATATATATATATATATATATATATATATATACTTCTGTAGCGACTGCTATGTTTTTCCACGGCTAATAAATCAATACTGCCTTTCTATAGGACAATTTAGCCATCGCAGCCGTTGCTTTGAATTTTTCGGTTTTGAACTTGCTTACTTGTTTCGTTAGTACAAATTTACTGATTGGTCAAGTTTTAACCAATCACATATTTTAGTGCAAAATAAACTTTTTCCTCAGTTTCGCTGGGAGCCGATCTGTAGCTTTAAAAGAGGCGACTTTTTCACAAGCCGCCAGTAGAGTCCACTAAATTTCGTCTGTCAACACAAACCTATGATTTTACTCACAACATTTCAAGCGCACACACAGACACAGAATTTTGTAATACATATATACATATCTCTCTGTGAATCAGCTACGTTCAATCAACCAGGGCTCTGTTGATTTCTCTAACACAACACACTTTCTGATCAATTGTATTCTTGTGTTATCTATTCTAACAGCAGAGTTGTTCTAACATTTTTTCCTGAACATTTCTCTCTAAAGAGAACTTTCTTTCGAACAATCAATTACAAATCAAAAATACAGTTAAAGGGAAGCAACTTATTTTCCCTTAATCTATACATTGAATACAAATTATTGTATATTTAGTTCTTGTATGTTATTTCAATATATACTTGTTGAGTCACATTTGGAGTTTTGTTGTTTTCTTGAATCATTAATAATACAAAAAGTATATGTGCTAAAGAACACGCATAACACTTCCTATGTTGTGTCGGCTTCATGTGTATGCTTGTAGGTAGTCTATTGTGTTTATTTTTGCCAGTATGTGTATATTTATTCGTTCTCCATAGATAATTGCGTGTGTATATGTATATCTGTGTGTGTGGTCCGACCAGTGAATTTGGCCATTATGTGTGTATAGTATGTGTTTATGTGTGTGGGGTTATGATCTGTTTAGTGCTAGTTTATTTTTGTCGAAGTTATTTTTCTTGTATTTGTAGGTAACAATAATTGTCTGTTGATATATATATATATATATATATTATAAAGAGATAATCATACATTGAATCAATTAGCAATATTAATGCAATTAATGGCGAAATCTCTTCGCTAACATACTTAATATAAGCATTAACCTACTAACAATCCACTGAATGATGCGATCCTTATGTATAAAATTGTTGTCAGATGGATCTGGTGTATTTTTTAGAGCTAGTACTTTCAAGAACTTCATGTCCTCATCATCTGGCTGTAATTTTTTTTTTTAAAATCAAAACTCGAAGACGAAATAAATGTGTTGTAGACCTAAATATGTTTTTTTTTAAAGAATGTGTTATTTATTAACGGTTATATAATATTGGAACGTACAAGTCGCAACGCTAAAGTTCAAATATTTCAAGTGAGAATATTTTGTATGAATTTTGTAATTTGGTAAATCCACGAATTCTTTTGTTGTAAGTGTTTTCCAGTGAACGTGACATGAACTAAGTACATAGTTCAATTAATAGAGTGATATGTCTTAGTAGTTTTTTTTCTCCGGAATTTTGTACTGAGGATCAATTGTTTTCATAAACGTATTATATAAGGCAGCATAAATTTTATATTATAAAGATATTAAAATATTTTGAAAGTACTATCTCCTCTAAAAAGTAATTGTATTAATATTGCTAATTGATTTAATGTATGATTATCTCTTTATAATATAAAATTTATGCTGCCTAATATAATATAATATAATATATATATATATATGCTATTTCTTGTGATATATATAAATGCATAGAAACGAAGAGGATTCGCTTGACATAGTAAGGAGATAGATTTGAATAACACTAGATAACAAGGTGTATGCTTCGCTTGCTATGAAAGTAAGCAGATAAACTTTGAAATGCCAATTCAGGCGAAAAGGAAACACAACAAAAATGGAAGAAAATTGTTATTAATATGTTTTAGGTTTTACTTTTGGCTCTGTTACCGTAACAAATCATTTTTATAATATCGAAGCAGATTTGTTTGAATGAAAATATTTGCTTTTTTTCAGAAAAACAAAAACTAAATCAGATGAATGAGAATAGCAACAAACATTAAAGAAATTTCTCATCGTTTTTTATGCATTCATCCTTAACGTAAGGAATTGGGAATCCATATTTGATGGATGAATTTTGCAAGAAGTATTCCTTATTAAGAGCCGATAAGTGGGCGAGTAGAGAGCCTCGTTTTCGTTTGTACTTCAAAGCTTTCGATGATCAAACAACGAAGCTAGAAGCAGAAGCCAAATAAGCCTAAATATTTATTTCTACGTCTTATTTCTCATGAACTAGATCCCTCGTTGATCGAAATATTATCGAACCATATCGACAGAAACAGACTTAGATTGATCGATAAAGGAAAAACAAAATGCAATAAATTGATAGACAAAAACAGATAAATATAGAAACCTTTTGATAGATACAGGGTGTCCATAAATTTCGTATGCATTTTAAAGTTATAAATATTTTTAAAGTGCACACGAACTTTATGGACACCCTGTCTTTCTTATTACTTTAAAAGTAAATACACGTGTTTGAGAAAGCGCCATTTTTTTAAAAACCGTGTGAATAACATCCACTGTCTCGTGTATTCAAGAGTTCTTCCAGAGATACTATCTTACTTATTAAGACTCTCGAATGCACAGGCCGGTAGATGTAATTTAATTCCCACTGTTAAAAAATCAGGGAGTCTGTTTAAACATGTGTATTTATTCAAATATAGCGTTTTCATAAGAAATAAAGTCGGACTAAAATTAATAAAACCTATACATTCCTTAGAAATTATTTTGATAGATATTTAGACTTTGATAAATTGGGGTTGTATAGGCGATCGAAAGAAAAAGAATCTTCTTTTTATGAGGGACACACATTCATGACTAAACTAATCTCTCTAATGACATATACAAATCTTTGTATGCAAATATGTGGATATACACTGCGTGCCAAATTATTATTGAGATAACTTTTTTCTAATATTTCAAAAACTGTCCAATAAATTCACACAAAATTTTCACACAATGTTGGCAACACTGACCTGCGCAATCACTGAAATTTTTGTACTGATCTGCGCAATGTAAACAAACTGGCGCCATATTTGTTATCAACAAGGTAATTTGAGCGTGCCAAATTATTAGAAAGGTTTAGTAAAATTCCCAGAATTGAGCAAACAAAACGTTTATTAATGTTGCACGTGAATGTTTATGATCAAAAGAAGCTAATAAATAAGATAATCAAACAAATAATAACAGATACAAGCAAAGGCACAGTTTTAAACAAATTAATAGGGAATGTGCTTTCCCTGTTTTGAAATTACTTGAAGAAGTCGATGATCCACAGAATTTGTTAATTGTAGGATGTCATCTGCTGTAATGCCGCGAGATATGTGAAGAATTGCTTCCCACAACTCAGCGTTGCTCCTGAATTGTCGTCCGTTGGCGTACAGTCGTCGCTTCATGATGCTCCAAAGGTTTTCGATTGGGTTCAAATTCAGAGAATTTGCTGGCCACTTCATTTTTCGAGGTCCATCGAAGCCTAACTGTTTCAAATATTCAGTAGTCTTGTGAGCAGCATGTGAGGGAGCATTATTTTGCATTAAAACAATGGCCCTTCTGAAGTCAACTCTTTTAAAATTAGACGATATTCAATTCAACATTTAAAATATACTCTATTTTAGAAATACGTTTTCACAACATCGCCCACGTGACGGCGACGTGATCGTATTGCGAAACGGAACGCTGATCTTAAAAAAAATTTCAGTTATTCTGTTTTGATTAGTCTTGCCTATCGTCTTTTCATGTTGACTTGAATATCGTCTAATTTTAATTATGTTTTAATAACTATGTCCTGAAGAAGGTCTACTAGACCGAAACGTCTGACGTCGACATTGTAACAACAATAAAACAGCATACTTGCATATTCGGACTTTTGTTTTTCCATATTTTTCTTCATACACCCCTTTGCAAATTAATTGAAACAAAACGAATAATTCCGTTATTCTTTCGTATTTTTTATAATGAAACATGACCCAGTGCACATAGTAGTACTTCGTAGGTCCAATCCACGAAGTCGTTCCTTGCAGATTGACCACAGATTCTCGATTGGATTTAAATCAGAAGCGTCTCCGGGCCAGCCTAGTACTTTGATTGTTCACTGGTAAGGCTTGCCAGTGTGTTCGTGCAGCGTTACAAATTTTCGTACGCTGCCTTGAAGTAATGTCCATCGCCGACAATGGCCGTAGAACAACTAATCTACAGTCGAGACAATAGTGTCTGGGCGTGATGAAAATCTGATGCAATCACGAATAACAATATTTTTAAAGGCCAAACAAATTTCATCACTCACACCGAAAATCAATTGATATAACTGCACACCACTGAAAATGATCTAATCCGAGGAAAAAAAAAAAGAAATCGATTATACCCTGTCCTTCCAGTGGATCTAAAACTGACCGTATGGTGAAAGAAAGGAAATTAAAGCAGTTGTTTCAATTAATTTGCACACGGATGTCATTTGCATAGAATAATTGTTAAAGATGTTTGATAACATATATATAATTCTATTCAGGTTTATCTATCTATCTCCCTCTTTATTTTCAGATCTATCTATCTATCTATCTATCTATCTATCTATCTATCTATCTATCTATCTATCTATCTATCTATCTCAATCTGTCCATTATCTATCTATCTATCTATCTATCTATCTATCTATCTATTTTTCTTTCTCAGCCTGTCTAAGGTGTATACGGACGTACTCTCAATGTGAAGTCTTGACTTGATCTATCTATCTATCTATCTATCTATCTATCTATCTATCTATCTATCTATCTATCTATTTTCTTTCTCAGCCTGTCTAAGGTGTATACGGACGTACTCTCAATGTGAAGTCTTGACTTGATCTATCTATCTATCTATCTATCTATCTATCTATCTATCTATCTATCAAGAATATATATTACGGAGATATCATCATCATCATTATAATCCTCTTCCTCTTCCTCATCTTGACTGGGTGTTGTCATAAATTCTAAAGATATGAAAACAACCAAATTACCAGCTATAAACATACATTCTAGAGAGAAATAAGTTAGTCGAAGAAGCAATTTTATTGATGACTGTAAAACTATATTAGTTGGAACTGGTGGTTGGAATATAAGTTGAGTCCTTCTTGGAAATTAAAAGACAACATTGGGGTAGAGTATTGTTATTAGGCTATTATTGGAGACAGTAAAATTATAGCTCTTTTCATAATTGTGGATATCATCTTCATCCTCAATGCCATAACAGGGTGTGGCCAATAGTCTCTGTCCAGATGAACACCTGACCAATTCCATTTACACATATCTGGTTTGTTAGCGTATTCATTGATGTGTAAAATCTTTTGGGTAAGTAGATCTGGCAGAGCCAATCCAACCACAACCGATGTCAATTAACTTGAAGTCTCGCCTTAGTCACGGAAACATGATCGTTGATTACATCTGGGCCGGTGACTTCACATGGGAAGACCCCACCTCGCCTACCGTTCCTGGCATATTACCGCATTGGCTGTATACATAGCTATGGGGTTAAGTGTACGCCATTGTTCTAGGTGACCATTGTACTATTGTGTGATGTCAACGAACAATCGTTGCCACTTTTGTAATGTCAACGAATACTCGTTGTAACTTTCGTAATGCTCGTTGTAGTAGAGACTTTGTAATCGCAGATACAACTATAGTAACGCCGTTGAACAATACTGGTGTTAGACGCCTTCGAATAACACTAGCACTAATAGTACTTGCTCGATAATACTCGCTCGAATAGTAACCACCGTATAGTGATCAGTATAGAGAAATAGTATAGTGAAGAGAATAGCGATCCGTATAGTAACAGAGGATAGACTAGAAATAACGATCCGTATAGTAATAGAGGATAGACTAGAAATAGCGATCCGTATAATAATAGAGTAGAAATAGCGATCCGTATAGTAACAGAGGATAGATTAGAAATAGCAATCCGTACCGTAATAGAGGATAGACTAGAAATAGCGATCCGTATAGCAATAGAGGATAGACTATAAATAGCAATCCATATAGTAACAGAGGATAGACTAGAAATAGCGATCCGTACCGTAATAGAGGATAGACTAGAAATAGCGATCCGTATAGCAATAGAGGATAGACTATAAATAGCAATCCATATAGTAACAGAGGATAGACTAGAAATAGCGATCCGTACCGTAATAGAGGATAGACTAGAAATAGCGATCCGTATAGTAATCGGGGGTAGACTAGAAATAGCAATACGTATAATAATAGTAATAGAGGATAGTGTAGAAATAGTGATCAGTATAGAGGATAGAATAGAAAGAGCGATCAATTAGACCTTAATTCCCATTTATGCTTTTCTTTTAGGGTCACGTGATCTTTTTAATACAAAATGGGATCGCCTGTGTTTGATCTCTGGCGATCTATGTTCGAACTACAGCGACACTTTATTGACTTTACAACAAGGTTCGCATTTTGACAGTTTTTTTTTTTAATTCTAATAGATTTCTAGAAAAGCCTGATAGGAGAACTAGTTTAGTTGCCGATGAACCAACCAGACATCGAGTAGTACTAGGTTTCATGAGTACCTGTAATAATTGTAGGGTGACCTGACGTATATTTTACTCATGAACATTTCTAATTGTTCCTAGCAGTAGAGAGTCTTTCCATTTTTGCTGTAGATTCTTTCTTAAAATTATTGTTTTCAAGAGAGTGTTACGAAGTGAGGCAACCATTTCCCGGCTGTCATAGATGATCGTTAGCCATTTCCCTGAAGGCAATTTGAAACATATGCATCCATTTAAACGGTAAGGCTTTGTCTGTGCCACACTTGACACTATAAATATTCGTGATCCATTACTTCAGAAATACTTATCTATTATGACGTATTTCAGAATATGTCGTAAACATGTTCAAAGAACTACAAAAAGGAAACCATAAAATGTAAAGCAAAAAACAACACAAGCAAAGCGTAAATATAGTGACCATGTTTTAGTATCGCTGACATCAAAATGTTTCACTGCGTTGTAGAGTGTGTGTAAAAGATGGAAACGCGAATCAGAGAAATTACTTATTTCTTACAAGACGCACATTTTCCTATAAACATACCCTGAAAAATACGTGTGCGTCTTCCAAGACGAATGTAAGGCAACGCCCAGGCTCAAGTAAACTTAAACGGTCACCTAATTGGCTTGACTGATACTGACGTAGATTTGTGTGTTTGAGTCATTACCCTATAACGTTAATCTATCTAATTCAGCATTTTATCTGATGCAACCTCAGTACTTAGCTGTTACAAATATTTCTAAGACCATAAACCTTCCTGGAGCCGAGCCACAATCTTAAACATACTCTGTTTACTAGCAGCGGCGGGAGCCTTTCTGCTCTTGATCTTGATGGTGTAGGTTTGCTCACATTCTTATGTCGTGAAAATATCAATTACCACCAGGTTGTCACATGTATCACAAGATTTTATTGTTCCGAAATTATCACCCATTGCGAGTTCTTCAAAACGATTTAAAACCACCTTTGGACAATGAAAGATGTATAGTATATTTACTAACTACTAACTAGTATGTTATTGCCATACAAACAAAATCGGACGAGTGATTAATATAAACAATACATGGCGCCAGTATGTGATGGACGCATGGTGTATGTGTTGTTGTATGGGAATAACATGTTTTCTTTCTTAGAAATTTCTTTCTGATATTAGGGTGGGTCATCCAAGCCAAAGCATCTTATAAGCTAGAAAATACAGTAAATGTACTGATTTTACCAATGCTTTAATCAAACGTTGAACATGGTTTTCTAAATTCTCAAAATTCTTGTCTGAGATAAAATATTAGAATGGATTTAGTTTGGATAATTGAAAAATATTTGGATGATTTCAGTTTTTCTCTTCCTTAATCAAAGTTAGGAAAATAAAGAAGTCACCTCCCAACAAATCAACCGTGGTGAGATTCGAACGTGGCTATTAGAATGCTAACATTCTAACAACTCAGTCATGCCCTCCATGCCATATATATATATATATATATATATATATATATATATATATATATATATATATATATATATATATATATATATATATATATATATGACTGAGTAAAAATAAGTAAATAAATAAACAAACCACTCCCGCCAAAATAAACGCCAGAATAGATTACCCACAATGAACCACTGACCCATATATATAAATAATTGAGGAAAATCCAACACTCATGGCCTAACGATTGCGTCTAGCGTGAAACAGCTTGTCGCCCTGAGTTTTGACTTCAATGTTCACACACACACACACACACACACACACACACACACACACACACACACACACACACACACACACATATATATATATATATATATATATATATATATATATATATATATATATATATATATATATACTCACATCTTAAGAAACAAATATGAAACGTTTTCACTATTTTGTTATGGTTAATAATCCAAGAGACGTTGAAGAATGTCACCCAACCACGTGTACACATCCTTGTGTATCTGTACAACGGATTCTTCAAATTGATTACTGAGGTTTACAGATATTTTCCTTCGATATTGGAAGGCAAGACCTTAACCAAGAACTTTTAAAAGATGCCCTCGACTATTGGAAATATTTTAAAATATTTATATCGTATTTTAGTTCTTCCCTTCATTTTGGGTTTTGTTCATAAAACTGAAAAAAAAAAAAATAAAAAAAACGAATCAAAAAATAAGTTTGAATCATTTGAAAAAATCCAAATTAAATAAACAAAAGCCCCCCCCACCACCACTTAAAAAAATGAAGCAAAAACAATGACAGTAACCACAGAAAACAAAAATAAGACGTCATGTCTGCCTTGAAATGAGGAGAAAAGAGAAAATGTCCGGGATAAAAAAAATGAGTGAATGTAAAAAATAGAAAAAAAAGAAAAAAAAAGAAAAGAAAAATAGGTTATTTTTCACTGAATGCAACAGAATCGATCTTATATTTAATTTAAGAGATCAATCTTTGTTTTCAACCCATTCGTAAGTGTATGTTCTTCTCTCCACACACAGTCGCAGACACACATTTCATCATGATAGTGTATATTTTTTCTAATCATCTGACCCTATGCAAGGCCGTAAAGCCACTAAGACACAAGAGGTTACTGAGTGTGAAGGAATAAGAAAAAAAGGAAAAACATTATTAAGGAGCAAGAACAATAGAAGAGTAATCGAGAAGAGAGTAGACGACAATTTTTACCATTATTTATTTCTTTATATCTGTAAATCTATCTATCTATCTATCTATCTATCTATCTATCTATCTATCTATCTATCTCAATATGTTCATTTCTTTATTTTTTCTTTTTATCTATTGTTCTGTTTTTTATTTTTTGGATATCTATCTATCTATCTATCTATCTATCTATCTATCTATCTATCTATCTATCTTGTTCTGTTCAAATCTATCTATCTTTTTCTGTTCAAATCTATCTATCTATCTATCAATCTATTTTATTCACTATTCTTTGATACTTTCAAAGAATACATTTTTGCAACAAAAACTCATGAGTACATTCATATTAGTGTATTTCAACAAAATCTATCTATCTATCTATCTATCTATCTATCTATCTATCTATCTATCGCAGTCTGTCCATTATTTATCTGTCTATCTATCTTTACATTTCTATAACACTTAATCATATATATATATATATATATATATATATATATATATGTGTGTGTGTGCATTTGTGTTTATACATAGACAATGCATAGACAATGGTACAGCACATTCGTTCATAAAGTTTTGCTTGAAGCCATTTATAAGTCGTTCAAATAAAACCCTTAATATTTCATTTTATTTTTTTTTTTTAAATTGAAACATTTTAACTTAAATATAAAACCTCCAGAAAGGCCGGTAATGTGAAAGCATTGACTAGAATGTTTCCTCTTGAATCAAAACTTCTTGTCTCCTTAAAATTTCTGTTAATAACACATTTATTTTCATCTTTTGTGAAATCTTCAAGCATCCATTTTGTTTAATTTTAGATTTCCGTCCGATTCCAAATCTATATTGAATTTATACTGTTAACAATCTATGCATGTTTGCATGTTTGGGATTTTACAAGGAGAAAGAAATAAAAACAAATATATAATTATATTAAGCTGGGAAATGCTTTAAAAAATACTCGCAGAAGTATTTTTTTAAAATATTTTTTGTATTGTTTAAAATTTTCTGAAAAAAATACGTAATGTATTGGCACAAGGCTATAATTATCGGCTGCCCGGTGAGAATCGAAATAATTACTAATGGTCTACAAGACTTGCCGATCCTTCATCAGCTTTTGATGCTACAAATCACACACGAAGAGCTAGACCAAATAACAGGTTCAAATAACTTGAATACTTCCAACACCAGCAACAATTAAAATGGATAGAACACGTAATTGGAGGGGAAAATAATAGCATAATTACATAATTTGACTTTTTACACTTCTATATGCTGATTGCTTTCAGCACATGAGTGATCATGGCTCTCCGAAACTTTCTATCCTTTGTGGCTCTTAGCAGTTTTTCTACTTTTACTAAGGACCCCACTCTGTTTCGCCAGGTAGGTGAATCATTGCCTTTTTCTATTTTTCTTGAATACAATACGCCCCGTGAGTGTTAAGTTTTCCAAACCTTCCTTTCTCGTTATGTTTCTAAGGAATTTCAGTTGATTCTGAACATAAGCGTTCTTTTTGTTACAATTTTCTTGATGAGACGTTGCTGCCAATCTAATTCTACGCTTAAATTCGTAAAGTTTACTTACCGAAGAGGAACCCTGATCAAAACAATTACCATGAAAATATTCATAAAAAAGTCATAGGGAAGCAACGTTACGGCGATGGGAAAGAAACTAAAGCCGAGATGCTAGGTCAGGACTGATAATACTGCAGATTCTTTGGATTTTATCAAGAATCTCTAAATATATAGAAGTACGCGTTTTGAAGGTATTGAATGTTATAAGCTAGTTTTTTTTTTTTTACATTGAGCTTTCAGAACTAGGTCAGACTGTGATCTTGTACACTTTTGGAGGGATGTAATGAATATGCATACACCTGGGTCCCCCCCCTCACAGTAATATGATTGGCTGGTATCAGCCATAAATACAGACTGATGTGGAGGTACAAAACGACGCCTATTGTCTACGCCTATAGTCTTCGCCTATTGCCTACCACTACGACGAGGACCAGTCTATTACGGTTACCTGCTAGATTGTTCTACCCGGTTACAGTAGTCAACAATCATTTTGCTACTTCGAACAAATATATCCCTTACCGGGACATATCATGGAGTTACACTCATAAACTGTGGAATCATCTGTATGGATATTTACTAATGATCTAAGAATGCTCCTGGGCAGATCGTTTATAAAATGTAGACAGTTGTTAGGACCAATGAGAGTGAAACTTAAACAGACACTTGCATTGATTCCATGTCCATTAACGACGTAGAAAGTCCAGCTTTTCCTTCGGGAATTCAAGCAGTGTAACTTAGCCAATATCCGAGGATCGTTTCATGAAAGAAAATATTGAATGTTTCACTCCGGCTAATTTGTGGGCTTTTATCCGAATCCGAGTCAATAACTGATGTTTTCCATTACGCAACTCACACACCCCAGTGGCAAAACTTGTTGTCAACCAATCTGGCAAGACGATCAGCAATTTTTTTATTTTCTTTCTTTTCTAAAGAATATTTGGGACAAGTTTTTCTCTTTTGAGGATAAAAAGCGTTTTCTTGAATACAAATGTCTTTGAAAGGTCGATATTTTATTGGATTTTTTTTCCTACAGTGTAATATTTTTCTAAATCCTCACATTACAGAATTAACAGAGGACATTTTCGTAACGAAGATCGTTTTATTTAGTTAAACGGGAAATAGATGATAATTTTATTTCTGGCTTGACTATTGGTGAGTATAATCTTAACAGAATAAAATACATCTTCATTGCCATATTCACAACGTTTCGGCCACTATATCTCTGAGATGAGGTATTATCATACTTGCATTATTTACATTATTCGGGCTGTTATCCTCATCTTCATTGTCATATTCACAACGTTTAGGCCGTTGTACGCTCCGGCTTTTTTCAGGTGATTGGATCTCTGAGATGAGGTATTATTATTACTCGCATTATTCGAACTGTTATCCTCATCTTCATTGCTATATTCCCAACGTTTCAGCTTCTATATCTCTTAGATGAGGTATTACGATTACTTGCATTATTTAAATTATTCGGACTGTTATCCTCATCTTCATTGCCATATTCACCACGCTTCAGTCATTGTACGCTCCTGACTGCTTCAGGTGATTGTGATTTTGAATCTAACCCTTTATTTCGCCCACCGGGGTAGATTGCTCTAGTTCCATGTGCCATGCCTCTTCCGGATGTGCCAGTTATTTCCCTTTAATTCAACTCGCCAAGTATTTTGGGTCACCACTGCTGTGGTATTGAACTCCCAACTCTCTGGGTCTAGTCACTGAATCTAACCAACGTCTTTATCCATTGGGCCATCTGTCCTTAACGACATCCGTGTATGAATTTCTGGGACTTATAAACAGAATGTCTCAGCATTCAATTTTTTACCAGTGCTCATACTGCAATTTGTTCTGTTGTTTTGTTGCTATTCATGGCACGTGTAACTAGAACAATATAACCTGGTGGACGAAACTAAAGGTTCGGTTCGAAATTCCAATCACCTGAAGAAGCCCGGTGCGTACAATGGCCGAAACGTTGTGAATATGGCAATGAAGATGAGGATAACAGTCAGAATAATGTAAATAATGCAAGTAATCATAATACCTCATCTCAGAGATATAGACAGAGATATGACATAATGTGCGGAGTGTTCGACGAAAAAATACATCGTTAATGAGAATGGAATTGAAAGGCGATACAGAAATCCTGCTGGCAGGCGTTCACGTCTAAGCACTGAATATTAATTCTGCTGGAAGAACGTCTACCGCCGAGTGGGTTCAGGTACGTTCAGGTTGTTTGGCAATCAGGTGGATAATGTCACCTACATCTTTAATTCTTGCATGGGAAGAATACACTCGCCGCCACGACAAAATGGCCACCCGTCTGCATTGGTGCCTATTTAGGAAGTATGGACTTGAAGACGACAAGAAAATGGTACCACCACAGAGAAGGTGATCGAAAACGACCAAGTCAAGATCTTGGAGGATTCCAGTATCCAAACAGACTGCGTTCTTCAGGCCACCAAACTAAACATTACCGAAAAAGAAAAAGAAAATGCCTCCTCACCGTCTTGTCTGTTAGTGGTGACCATAATATCAAGATTAAAAAGAATGATATATTTAAGAAATACACAGACCACCGTATTAATGTTGGGAGAATGTTGGACGATAAAGGACACTATTGTCCCAGTTATCGATGAAGCGTTGGGGTTTATGCCACCGAACTCAAAGACCTACTTTAAGAAAACCAAAATAAAATCGGGTCTTCCATCACTTCAGTAATCTGCGTTGCTTAGTACTGTATATATTTTCTTTACGGTGCTCTATGTCTGAGGTCATACGATTTGATGGAAAACACTCATAAAAAAGACCTACGTTTGAAAAGTAAAAACAGGACTAAAGAAATAAGATGAGAACAATAGATAATGTAAATAGTGTACATAATACCTCATCTCAGAGATATAGACAGATACTAACAAATGTTTATAGACAATTGTTAATGTTCAAGATTTAAATAGTTGTTTTGAAATAATTGATATAAGGAGGCGTTGTTAGCGTTGGTCAGATTCATCTTGGAAGTGTGATAGCCATGAGAATTCTATTTTTACCTATGCGTTCTGTGGTTGTCTTTCAGAAGCCTGAAGAATAGAGAGAAGCGTGTATTTTTTTGACTGCCTTATTACGGTGAAACCATCTGTAGAAAATGTCAAGTAATGAACGTTTTTTTTTATTCGATTCTGGAAAGAAAGAAAGAAAGAAAAGAAAAAAAAAACAAGAAAAACATTGATTTTCGATTTGTCCAAAAAGAACAAAAAAAATAAATAAAAGAAAGAAAGAAAAAAAAAAGATGTCCGACAAAAGTACTTGGAAATTTACTAAAAGCTGTTGTTGATTTTGGAAAATGGGGAGTAATCATTTTAGCGTCTTTTGGCAAAAGCGTTAAATGAAAGAAGCACTTATTCAATCTCAGAAACTGCCTGTTGCTTCCATTAGGGTTTTTACCAAGCGGTTACTGATTAGAAAAGTTGAATAGACAAAGATTTCCCGTAAATCTGGTTGAAAGTATTTCGTGTAACGCGTGTGAAAGAACAGTTTTCAACCATATATTTTGCAAGTTCCACTTGGAAAAATGTATTTGCTTAAACCACAACGCAGCTGGTAATTGGCAAGAAAATATTCTTGGTTTACACAAGAAAACGTTTTAATCATCTATGCCTGGCATTTTCCTTTGCTATAAATATTTTTTTTAACTCAAGCAGAGTTTAGATTTGTTACTACCAGCGACACATTTAGTAAAACTTGTCCTCATCTTTTCTGAATCGAAGTTACATTTTTATTTCTAGGAATGATTAATTGATACAAATATAATGGCTTTTCTAAATCATGATAGAAAGTATTTTTTTATATTATTCATTAATTTTTAGACAGTTGCCTTCGTCTAACTTGTTT